ATTGATTCTCATTCTTAGATGAGGTTCAAAATAGTACAAGATAAATGTTGAGATCTCCTCAACAATATAGGCCTCACATATCGAAGTCTCAATATGCACCTTGTTCTTAACCTTTTTCTTGAGATTAAACAAGTACCTGCATTGAAATATTAATCAAGTATTTTCAATTAAGAAAAACATATAAAATACTTTTATATATGAATTACATTGCAATTGTAATATCTAACCGTTTGAATGGGTACATTCATCTATGTTGGACTGGTCGTTCGAATGGGTACATCCATCTATATTGGATCGGTCCTCCAACTTTTGCCTTGAACGGTAGATGTATAGGGAAATGCTCTATTGAGTCAAAAAATGATGGAGAGAATATCATCTCAACTTTGCATAGTGTTTTGATGATATTCATTTGAAGCCTCTCAATGTGATCAACATTCAACTTGCTGGAGCATATAGCTCTGAAGAAATGACTAGTCTCCATGAGTGCATCCCATATTCCTTTTGGCAACAAATCATGAAAAGCTAATGGGATGAGTGTTTGCATAAACACGTGGTAGTCATGACTCTTCATTCCATATAATCTACAGTCCTCTACATTAACCAATCGTGATATGTTCAATGCATGTCCATCCAAAAAATGCAGACTTTTAAGCCATTTGTAGACTAGTAGTTGTGCGTTTTTCTCTAACACGAAGCTTGCTCTTGGTTTTGCAACCCGTGACTCATCATAAACCAACTCTATATTTTTACGGTTATAGTATAAAGCTATATCCAATCTAGCCTTGATGTTGTCCTTTGTCTTCCCTTCACTTCCATGACGGTGTTGAAAATGTTCTTAAACATGTTCTTTTTTATGTGTATGACGTCAAGGTTAAGGCGGAGCAGATTGGTCTTCCAATAAGGAAGCTCCTAAAATATACTTCGCTTTACCTAATTATGGGTCAAACCAAAACTAGGAAACTTTTGCTTACCTGATTGTAGGCCAAACACAATGTCACTATACTCTGAGACAACATATTACAATTCTTCACTAGAAAGACGCAGGGATGCAACATCTCTTTCAACTCTACTAACAAAGAAATCTTTTCTGTTCTTTCTATACCTGTGATTAAGTTCTTTCTATACCTGTGATTAAGTTTTGCTTCCATTTGCTAGCGTGAATGCCTTGTTGTTTTCCATACAGTATAGACATGCGAGTTTCCCATGCGTGCTCCAACCAAAAAGCATTCCATAAGCTGGAAAATCATTGATAGTCCACATCAAAGCCGCCCTCATAAGGAAATTTTGTTTCCTCGATATATCATAAGTTAGAGCTCTAGAGGACCACAATTGCGCCAACTCATCAATCAACGGTCGAAGACAAACATCTATATTCCATCCCAGGCTGCTTGGACCAGGTATGACAGTAGATAAAAACATGAACTCCAGCCTCATGCACATTCCTGGTGGCAATTTATAAAATGTAAGTATGACCGGTCAACAAGAATAAGGAGCAACAAATGACCCAAATGGGTTGAATCCGTCTGTACACAACCCAAGACGCACATTCTTTAATTCAGCTGAAAAGTGAGGATGAACACTGTTAAAGCATTTCCATGCTTCGCTGTCAGAAGGATGAACCATCACTCCATCAACCACATGGTGTGCTTGGTGCCATGCCATGTGCTTAGTAGTCCTTGGTGACATGAATAACCTCTGCAGTTTAGGTGTGATCGGGAAGTATCTAAGTTTTTTATATGCCACTAGAGTCTTTCCCCTGCCAGTTCTAGGTTTGTAACGGGAATGCCCGCATTTCATGCACTCGGTCATCTCAACATTTTCAAGGTAGTATAACATGCAGAAGTTAGGGCACATGTCAATTTTCTGGTATCCTAAACCGAGGGGTTTCATCATGGACTTCACAGCATTGAAGTTCTCTTTTAGCTTGTTCTCTTTAGGTAAAATGCTTCTTGCCCATTCAATAATCTTGTCATACCCGACCTCACTTAACCCATGCTCTGACTTGATGGTGAACACCTGTGTTACGACCAATAATTTACTGTGGTTTGTGTAGCCATCCTATAATGGTTCATCAGAATCTTTCAACAAATCAAAAAACCTAGCTGCATCTACATTAGGTTCTTCTTCTACTATTGGACATTGATTGACATTACCTTGATTCATTCTCATTGCATCCATAACCATGTTTCTGTAAGGATTAGTGTTGTCATTCTCGTTGCTAGCACTAGAAGTAGACCCAACCACCGTTTCGTCCATTCTCCTCTCACTAACATATACTTCTCCATGTGCATATCAACACTAGTAATTCTCCATAAACCCTTTGTGTAGAAGATGCATTATTACAATATCTGGATGCAGATACTTTTTATTTTGACACTTCCTGCATGGATACCTAATACCGCCTCTAGTAAAATTTATAGGGATAAATGTTGCAAAATTAATAAAACCCTAAACCCCGTTACAATAATCCATTCTCCGCAATCCTTAGGGTGAATCTCGATACATCCATGAACGATCATCCATGATTTATATCGAACCTTTATAAAATTATGATGACATAATGTATTAATTAACTAAGTTAAGTAAATAAACTTGCAAAAATATTACTTTACCTCGAGATTATCCAACAAACCAATCACAACTTCTCATAAATATTAAAAATTCATTATCATTTATCAATGTCCATACAAATTAAAATATATAAATTTACAGATAAATTACCACTTTGCAATACCATTGACAAAACTTTAAACAGATCCAATAAGTAAGCTATTAATTATTTCAAAACAGCACATGTACTTCGGTAGTTCCATAAAGTTTTAACAATTTATAAACAAATACAATCTTACAAAATCTAAAACAAACCATAACAGGTATAGAATTATACATTCATATACTACAAGTTTGTTTGACAAATAACAATAAAACATGTACATTTGCTAACAAAATACATATACTAAAAAAACAATAAAATTGACATTTAATTAAATGTTAAGATTTAAAAAGAAAGAATTACTTACAAAAATTGATAAAATTCATCGGTAAATCAAAACATGGATGCTATGACCACAAAACTTCAAGAAATATAACTTGTTGTGCTGATATGAGGGAGATTTTTGTTTGGGGGGGTAGGGGGCTGGTTGTTTGCAGATGGGGAGAGTTGGGATTATGAAGAAGAAGGAGAAATAGGGGAGGAGAGGGTCAGCAGCGTGTACATATATTAACTTTTCCTGATGGTTTCATAGACAAAAAATCCGTCGGTGAAACCATCGATGATTCTGATGGTACAATCGACACGTCACTGTACGGATTTGCCATTTCAAATCCGTCGGTGAATCTATCAACAATATAAATGGTGGTCACCGTACGACCTGTCTTTTTTAATCCGTCGGTGATTCCGTCTGAAAAAATAACTCGCCAAAATCTCCACGTCAGTGACCCGTTTTTTTTACGACGGTGACGTTTCCGTCTGTAATTCAGACGGTAACTATCGACGGAAAATTACTGTCGATGATTACCGATTGAATTACGGACGGAATATAACCATCGGTAATTTCAACCTCAAATTACCTACAAAATTATTCCGTCGGTAAATCCGTTGTTATTTAGCGAATTTCTAGTAGTGTTACTGGGGGACTAGTGAATGGTGAGCTCAACAAATCACTGAAGCTTGGGGCATTGCGGAGAAGTCGGACTAGGTGGGACCAATTGGTGGTGGCGTACGGTACCCACGCGGCGCCATTATTTCAGCACTTTCAGAATTTTTGAGCATTGTTCCTTGGTTTTCAACAATTTTTCTAGATTAATTTATGAATTTCAGAAGGTTTATTTTATAAATTATAAATGTTTAATGTGTGCGTGTTTGAAGTAGAATTAGAATTTTTAGTGTTTCATGAACATGTGTATTTTTAGTGCTTTATGGTAAAGATAGCATAATTACATAAAAATAAAGCAGAATTTTTAGTAAATGAAGAGAGAAGGATCAATTATACTCTTTTGTTAATGAATTCTTTCACATTGTTACATAACTTTATATCAATTTATAGTTGGAAAACGTGAACAAGCTTCTAGCCTGAATGCTAACCAACTTTCTTAACTGTATAACAATACTAACAATATTTTAACCACTTGACCCTTTAATCTCTTGACATGTGGCAAAACTAGGTCGTTTGGTATCTTTACACCTTTGCACTCTTCAGTGTGGTTAAAAGATGCTCCCCCAAGATTCAATTGTTTCTTTGGCTGCTTGTTCAGGATAAAGTATGCATGCACTCATGATTTCTTGTTTCAGCGTGATTTGCTTTAACTTCATGCAACTTTTCTTTACTTGTATTGTTTGGAGTCTGTGGCTTCATCAGAATGATGTAATCTTTAACGATGCCACTCCAGATCTTCATGGTTGCTTCTACTTGATTCTTCACAGGCTTTCCTTATGGTTGAAGATTGATAGAAACACTTTTGCTTACACCAGAATGGATCTAGGGATCAGCTCTGATGGGATCAAGTTCTGGGATAACAGAATAACTCACAGTTGATCACTTTTACCATTTTTCCTTTGTTTGGTCTCTGTTCCCTTTCTTTCGTTGCAGCAGCCGGTCTTTTATGGCTTCTTTTGTTCTTCTTTCTGTTGTTGTCTTTTTCCGACTTCTTTGGCTATCTTCCCAGAAATTAATAAAATCTCGACTATTATCTAAAAAAAAATCGGGAGGATATACACTAACTAGTGCCAGCAAGTTGACCGTGAACTAGCAAAAGAAAAAACATAGTCTAAAATACAAAAGAAAAGGCTCAAGCATTAAAGTCTAAATCAAAACTTGTTTAAGCTGCAAATAGAAGGGTCGTTATGTATTCGTCCAATTCAGTAGACCTTTTTCTAAATAATAGTCGAGATTTTATTAACTTTTGGCTAATAAGAAGATAGCCGAAGAAGTAGCGAAAAAAGGCAACAACAGAAAGAAGAAAAAATAGAAGCCATAAAAGCACTCTCCACTTACGGCCTCATGATTGACTACTATCAGAAAGGAAAATGGGATCTCATGATTGACTACTATCAGAAACATTCCGAATATTTGCACTCTCCACTTACGGCCTCTAAGGAGACTGCATTTCATATGGCTGTGTGCAGCAAACAAGAGCAACCACTTAAAGATTTACTGGAAATCATGACGACAAGCGAATTACCTTTAACTGAGACAGAATTTCTCAAGAAAACAAATTTGGAAATACGGTTCTTCACGAAGCAACCATCTATGGCAATAATAAGGCTGTAAAACTCTTGGTAGAACGTTGTCCCGAGCTGCTTTCGGTTCCAAATGAGTTCGGTGAAACCCCATTGTTTACAGCTGCCGGATTTGCTGAGACAGAAATAGTGGAGTTTTTAATCAGATCCAAACCAGGACAACGCGTGGATGATGATGGCCTCCTATTACCAATTCACCGCCAGAGAACGGTAGATAGCATGTCCATCCTTAGCGCTGCTATCATAGGGCAAAACTTTGGTAACAATTTCTCTCTGTATTGAATTTTCAAATTTAAAACTATGCATATATAAGATATTGTATAATTTTTGTCTTCCTAATCCCATGAATGCAGAAGCAGCTTTACTGTTGCTAGAACTGGATAGATCGCTCGCCAGCTTGAAGGACAAAAAATCAAATATCTACTCTTCAACTTCTAGCCGAAATGCCAGCTGCTTTTTTGACAGTGAATTTCCCATGGGCGTATTTGAAAGACTCATCTACTATTGTATGACTTTTTTCTGTGTCATCGTTAACATTTCTTTCCATTTCATAAAAATGGCTAGCTCTCATCCATGTTTAATTTCATTCCCTTTCGCATGAGCATGATGTAGGATGTTGGCTAGAAGGAATCTGGAACCAGAAAAACAAGCGTGTATTTGCTTTGAGATTCGCCAAAAGCCTAGTAGAGAAAGATGACTCATATGAGTTAGAGGGAGAGGAAGGACGAGATGGAAAACAAACCGTTCTGCTCTCATCACAAATCATAACAGGAGACCAAAATAAAGAAGAAGAAGGGCAAACTTCTGAAATCACTAGCGACGCAAAAGAAATAAAAAATGTCCAACAGCACAAACTTCTTTAATAAAGTCATCATTAACTATTAAGGTGGAGAGCCCATTGTTTACTGCAACTAGAAGGGGAATAGAAAAGATGGTAGAGATGATAATAAATGTACATCCTCATGCTATTGAGAATCTCAATAAGGAGGGTCAGAGCATTTTGGATATGGCATGTGTTTTTTGAGTGGGTATGTTTTGAACATATCTAAATTAAAATTTTTTAAAAATTGCAAATTATTTAAAATAAAAAGTCTTATGCAAAAAAAATAAAATCATTTTTGAACATGTAATGATTTATTGCAAAAAAAATAAATTACATTCACAAAAATCAATTTTTTTTTTAAAATATACACTTTAGTAAGTTATATACCCAGCACATAGAAAAACTTAAAATATATATCATCTAGAAAATCCATAAATTTAAAATGATTTTCCCTTCATATTAACCATATGTTTTCTGAATGAGGTAAATATTAAAGATTATGTCAATTATATATAAATATATCCATTGAAAAGGTTATAAATTACATCTCTATTCTACTACGTAACTTTTTTATTGTCTTTTATTTTTTTAAAATTTAAAATATTCATTTATTCAGTTTCTATTTAATTCAATGCAAATACTTACTAAACCTTTTTAGAAAATATAAAACAAGATACATGTTAAAGCTTCAATTATATTATTAAAAATATCTTAACATTTGTCTAAAATCCCTCAACACGGACTAAAAAAAAGTAAAGGTTTTGAGCAGTCAAAAAAAGATGTTTCCCTTCCCTCACTAGATCTTCCCTCCCACGAGAACCTCAAACGCAAGCCATCGGCATTTCCAGAACCTCTCTCTTCAACCACAGCGTCTTCCACCTTAACTCCATAGAGCCCTCTCCCAAACAGCAGCGTTTCCTTCTCCCTTCCCCTAACAGCCCTAACTGCATTTACCCTCCCTTCCACTTGATCCGCTATTTCTATAGTGGCCAGAAATGATATTTCTATAGTGGCCAGAAATGATAAATGACAAATTTTAAAGATTAACTTTGGAGACTAATTTCAAGTAGTACTATTTGGGGTAATTAGTTGTTGAGAAATCAAATTGTTTTTGAGAAGGGAACTATAAACTTGTTTGATTGTTTCTCCACCATCCTTCGTCTAGTTGTTATTTAGTTGCACACTCTGAATTCAAACTTCAGTTATACAAGAAACGATCTCATAAGATCTTTTAGTGGCATCAAATTATGATGTAATAAGAAATCTTAGTAATCTTTTTATTGTTTGCTATAGTAGATCAATTTTTTTTCTTTTTTTCATATCCTTGTATGTCACTTTGGCTATTGACTTTATGGCATTTTCAATATACTTTCGATCAAAAGAAGATTTGCTATAATTATATGGGGATCTACCACTAAAATATTATGTAGATAGCATAACATATATATTTATAGACTAGTAGGACATAGTTAGTTTTAAGAGAAGGTTTAGTTGCACTAGAAAAAAAAAAAAAAGGCATTAAAAGATTATAAATTTTTATCCAATTATTGGATTGCGTTTAAATATTTTTGGGAGATTTATGAGGCTTGGTTCTATAGTAGGCCTAACTTGCTATAACTAAATGAACTTTAGAAGACTCTAAAATTAGGCCTTGAAGTTGTTGTTTAAGCCTATTTTGTTATTTTTCCTTGATTTTTTTAGATTTTATGTTTTATAAAAGTTTTTGCTAGGTTTTTCTTTTTATTTAGGGATTACGATTTTCTTTTCTTACTAAGGTCGGTCTCATGTTCATTTAAAGACTTGTAAGGCATAACTCATTAGCCTTCATTTTCATGACTAAAACTATGACTTAGAGTTCTAGTGGGATAACTCTATTTTGACCAATCTCTTTCTTTCTTGCCTTTTATTTTCTTATTGGAGTTTCTGTCTACATTTGTAGGATTTGGAGCAACAATACTCCTTTATCCCAATTGGCATCTTAATTTGCACTCTCTTATTTCACTCTTCATTCATCACTGACAGAAAATTACGAGTGCTTGCTCGAGAATATTCCTCTCGCTAAACTCTATATTCCTGAAACTCTTCTGATTAAGTTTGGCTGCTTTATAATGCATCATTATCTTGTTATTCAAGCTGTGTCATCCATCACACGGCATAAAGTTGCATGCTGTGTGAATTTGTTTAAAAGGACAAAGAATCCATCAAATGTGGAATGAAGTTCAAACCGTACACATATTATCAAGTCAATAATCTTTTTACTTCTGCTAAACTGTTAGTACTAATGGTGTTGAATTTTTCTGCGTTTGAGCATGCACAGATGTCCGTGGTACCACAGCTCTGCGCTATAAAGCCTGATACGTGGTGACCCTATTCTGAAGAACAAAAGGGTTGCATATCGTATATAATTTAGTTAAATCAGGATGTAAAGCTAAGCGTGGAACGCGTCATTTCAGTAATCAAATTAAAGAAGAAATTTGTGAAGCAAAGATTATTCCTCATTAGTTGTAAAGCATGACGTGCAAAACGTGCTGCTATTGGATGAAATTGCACTAATGAAAAAAAGGATGGACAAAGATAGTGCTAAAATTCCATCAAAGACTTCCATATAAAAAGAAAAATATTCGATTAAGGAATAAAGCGGGATTTTATCATTAAAGTGATGTTTCTGTAGACAAATCAGTATAGATGGTCTTGTAAAACATTCGAGTTCACGAATCAAACTAAATTAATTTAAAAAATGCCGGGATCGATTCGATTCTAAGCCTTTCTCGTGACAAGAAAAATACAAAAACTGACAGTTGTTTGGGGGAATATGATTCAGACTCCATGAGGAATATCATCAAAAAGCTTGTTGCTATGTCATTTTCTTTCAGTCATCTGCCACTTCAACAGGATGAAGAATTCTTCACATTACTTAATTATTTCAAAGATCCTCCACAGGATGAAGACATGATTGGCATCTCCACAGAAATGGTGACCAACCAAATCGCAAATTCAACGTTTTGGTTGATGTCATTAAATTAATTATATTAACATTACACTCCGTAATACAGAGTAGATATTGTTGGTGGAAAAGACCACTCATGATGGCTTTGAAACACTCAAAAAGAATAAAACACGCTATTTTCTTTTAATAACAAAAAACTTACAATAACTAAAAGCTTTTAAACACACCATCTCTTTTTTTCTAGTGTTTCTTTCTTATATTTCCCATATACAATAACATCAAATTAGCTGTCTATTTATATACAAATTAAAAGTAAGAAAAAATTAAAGTTCAAGTGTGAATATATATCGTTGGCGGTGGTGTGAAGATTGTCATCTTTGACTTTTTTTTTGGATTGAGTTTTGTCACACCCTAGTGGCAGAGCGCGACGACCAACAATTGGTTTCAGGGTTTTTTATTATATTGTTTATAAGAAAGTTGCCACTTAGTATTTTGATCATTAGGAACCCTAAATGGTTTTTTAGAGATTCCAAGGTAAGGGACTAGTTGCATAAAGGAAATGTATTAACATCCTTAGTACGCCCTACCTAAGCTACTTGGTGTTTATAAGCTACTTGGTGTTTGGTCTGCCTTATAATCGCTATGGTGTTGGTGTTCTATTAATTAGTTTTTCTAGGATAGGTTTGCTATAATGAGTGATTTGGGTTAAAAGTCTAAAAGAATAATGCTTGGCCAATATAGATCATACCTTTAGATATGTCTATAAAGTTTCAAGGGGAATCAATGCAGATCTCTTGAAATCTGTGTTTGATTTAGACTAAATTTATTAAGAAAAAAATCCAAGAAGATTCAATATGCTTTAAAAGCACATTTTTCCATTGGTATTTCAAGAGTTTGCAACTCATAAATCATAAAGACAAAAGACAAAAATTTAGAAATCTAGGGTGCTTTTAAAAAAACTATATTTTTTAGTGTTTTATACTCTTACGACTCATAAACCGTGGAGTAAAAATTGAAATATTCTCGATTATAATCAAGGCTTCTTTCAAGGATGTGTGCAGATTTATTATTTCTAGAAAATTATTTTGGATATTTTCCACTCTGGGTTTCTTTATTCAAATATTAATAGTGAATAATAACAAATTATTTCCAATAATATTTTAG